GGGAACTCTGCAAAAAACGCATCTTCGCACGGGCAGCCCGTGCGTTGGCCAATTTTTTTTTTCTGGTAAAGATTTTGAACACTTCTATTTTCAAAATTTTAAGTGAACAGTTGTTTTTTTTTCAGGATGCAACAACTGAAAAATGTGCATATTCCGGAGTGATGACCGATGAACTGGTAATTGCTGGAGTATTTTTGCGCCTATTCATCGCGAATCCCTCATGGCAAGTGCGCCATCCAAAGCAATTCACAACGGAACTTATCGAAAAAGTGCTGGAATGCATGACTCAGCCGACAACAGAGCTGGATACCGTTACCTCAGCTTTTGTTGCTCTTATTACCAACCATCCGTCTGTAGCGGATCATGTAAGCTGCTCAGTTTTTTTACATCTATGCATCGGCAAAGATATATAAGACAGAAATTAATTTTTGCATATATTCAAATTTCCGTACTAAATAGATTTGGCATTGTGGCAAGTGTGCTATTTTAAGACTTGACGCCAAGGATTTGACTGCACTAGTATGGAAGTCAGTGATTCACGGTTAAATGGTAAATTAGTAGCACATGCAAAAGAGTCAAATCATCATCAGTTTACGTTTCAACAGTCCTCAGCATAATCTTTGATCTCGTCACGAGTGGTTGCATTTGTCAGTTTCCAACCACTCGGGTTACCTCCGAGTATCTCAGCCTTATATGGAGTAGGGTGAATAGAGTAAAAGTTTAGTCTGTGGTAGTTATCTGAAGATGCCAAAACGGCCCGGTTAGTCATTCTGGGGAACCTGTTATTTTAGTAGTGTCCTTTAGATGGATTTTGACTTTTGTTAAGTTGTTTGTTGCTCAAAAATTTGCATACTGAGACAAAAAAAAAAATTAAGAAGATTGAGAAAAAATTAATGATAAATGAGAAAAAATTAATGAAGAGTGAGAAAAAAATTGAGAAAAAATTAATCGAATACATTTAGGGAATATTTAATCCAGTCACTTTCATAAAAATTTGGGGGGGGGGGCCTCTGTAATAGCAAAGCATTCTTGCTGTTATGCTTAAGCTTTTGGTTCAGAACTGTCATGTACTTGATCAGCAACTTGTTATTCATTAATTTATTTTGATGGTAAATTGGTAATGGGTGTTGTAGAAATTCTAGAGGCATAAACAATGAATATTCCTGGCTAGGAGATTGGAAGAGGACGGATGCCTGAAATCCTCTATGTTTCAACATGTGCAGTTTGTTGGCATTGCTGGCCCACCGTGGAGAGAAACACAATCGAATTTTTCTATCACGCTAGAGTGCTAACCAACCTTCGGTTTAGTTTTTATGCGTTTTGCGCTGTGTAACAGCGTTACAAAACGCATATTGTCACGGGGTTGTCTATGCGTGTGTGTGTTTGTGTGTGTGTCCCACATTTTGTTCCGCACTTTCAACTCGGGAGCCACAAAAGCTAGGCGGCTGAAATTTTGATATAGTGTTCCCCGCCAGTGGGTGACGCGGCATATTTAAATTCAACCTTCCCGTATCCGCGGGTAATACGTACGGCCCCGTGAAAGTTTTTTGCGGGTAAATCAATATCGCAGGAAACACGGAGTCTAGGAGGCTGAAATTTTAGAGTAATGACCCCCTGCCCACGCTCAACCTTGCCCATTCAAGTTCAACCTTCCCGTACCCGCGGGTAACTCGTACGGCCCCGTGAAAGTTTTTTGCGGGTAAATCAATATCTCAAGAACCACGGAGTCTAGGAGGCTAAAATTTTAGGTAATGACCCCCTGACCACGCTAAACGTTGCCTATTCAAATTCAGCGTTTTCTCGCTGTTGAGTATCATCTAGGGCCTCGTGAGAATTTTGGCAGCTAAACTATTAACTAGGGAATCACGGAAAGATATTCACCATTCAAGGTTTCGAATTCAGTTTTCATGCGCTGGTGCGTGAAGTTTTTATTTTTCAATTTTTGAACTATTTTTGCATAGACTAAAGTACAAAGCAATGAAAATCATTAATAGGTAATCGTTGGATGGGTCGAATTGCACAAAACGCATGATCGCACCGGCTAGTCTGGTGCGCATTGCTATTTATTATACACTGCTTAGAGGAGAGGATCACTGATAACCTTATCATTGAGTGTTTGCATTTGGCAAAATGCTATAACTTTGGTCACTATGGAATATTTCCGTCTCTCATATACATTACAATACAGTAAAGATGTAAAATATAAAATTTATGTAGGATTTTCGCGTGACATTAACATCTTTCAGTTACCAGCACAAGGATATTTACCGCAGTTTTGCACGGCAATGTCGTCATCCAGTGGTTCGGCTTCGCGTTCAGCAATCATCATTCTTTCGCATCTCGCTGAAAATACGGTATCCGTTTATTTCCTAATTGTTTTTTGCCATCAGTTGGTTACTTCAAATTAAGCGAATTTTCGCCGGCTTCTTTTTTATGACCGCGGTTCATGCGCTTCAACTACAAATTGGTACTGGCGCATGCCGTCGGAGAAACAAATTCGCCATTACTTGCTTGTAAGCAACTCTCAAACGAAGACATTGACAGCTTTGCCAGCAACTGTTTGATGTTTTTTTCTGGCATGTGGCATTTTTTGGTTTTTCATAAAAAATGGATAGCGAGGGGTTTTTTTTTTTAATTTTGACTTTTTTGAATGTTTACCTTTTTTTTAGCATTGCGCAGATTCACTTGCAAATCTGAATTGCATCGAAGGTATTATGAAATCAATGAAGCAACAGCCAGGTATGCGTTATTATTAAAGTAGTCTCTCATTAAAGTTTTCAAATCAGAGTAGATTTTCCTAATAAATAGCTACTGTTGTGCACTTTCCAATTAATTCTTGAAATATTGTAATTTAAACAGTTAGCTGTGATAAACTAAATTAGGCAGTTGCTTCATTATTAGGTGAAGATACCATTTCTTTTTTTTGCTTTGGCTTATAATTTGCTAATTAGTGTTCGCCCGTTAGGTGAGGTTGCCGAAGTTTTTTTTTTTACTGCAAGCAGCCAGCTTTTAGAGATAAGTTAAAATTGGTGTAGAATAATAATCGATATAGTAATATCGATTTTAACGTTAAAATCATTTTATACGGAATTTTCAGTTAATTTTTGAAATATTGTAATTTAAATGTTTATTCGGTTGAGCTTGATTTCATGGGGAAAAGAAATTGGCGATAGTTGAAAAATTTATTGAACTTAGTCTGCCTATGCGAGTTTTTCAGTGGGTTTTCACTTTATGGCTAAGAGTAATTTCAGTTAATTTTTAAAATATTGTAATTTAAATATTTTTATTGGGTTGGGCTTTATTTCATCAGCAAAAGAAATCTGTGGTAATTGAAAATTTCTTGAACTCGGTCTCCCCGCTCGAGTTTTTCAGTGGATTTTCTTCACCTGTGGCTAACAGTAAATCGTATCTGGATGTTTTAAAGATGCTTTTGCGCTTAAATTGTGTTTCAGCATTAATCGGCGATTCAGCGCATGCGCTGAAATGTTTGCTGAAGCGAAACTGCAGTAATCTAGCCGCTCAAATGCTTTCAACTGGCATGGTACAGTATTTGTTGCAGCTACTGGATAGTGCAATGGAAGGTTTGTGATTTTTTTTTTTTGTTCACTGTTATTTTGGTTTTTTACCATAATTCATTGAAATCTGAAGGTATGCAGCTTGGGAATGAAAAAGCTTGACCACAGCTGCACCTAGCACTATATAACATCCCAGTAAAATCACCAGTATCGGACCCCATACCATGTGTTTAGGCAGCCCTGGTATTTCTTTTTATGTTTTCGTCGAAGTTCCATTTTTAAAAGTGAAATTCCCTTTTTTTACAACGGCTTCTTCGAATTTTACAGTGCAGAATTGGGCAGTTGCTAAAACTCGGTTCAACTCGGCCATCGCCATACACGATTTGCGAAAAATTTTTCCCGACGGTGGCGGGTAATCTTACCCGGCCGTGAT